TGGGAAACAGTAGCTGAACACATTGAGGGACGAACACCAAACATGTGCCGAGACAGATGGCAAATAATTAATCCAGATAAAGTTAAATATAAAAGATTTTCAGAAATGGACCAACAACTTTTAGAACATGTTATAGTTAATGAGTGTCCTTTATGGAGAGGAAAAAGAATTAATTGGAAATATATATCAGAAAAATATTTTCCGAATCGTAGTAATATAGAATTATTATATTATTGGAGACATTATCGTAATCCCAATGATTGGACTCAAGAGGAAGATGAGTTACTTCGTCAGAAAATGAAAGAATATAGGGGACCACCTGAAAGCATGTGGGAAAATATTTCTAAAAGTATAATTGGACGAACAGCATTTCAATGTCGTGAAAGATGGTTTCATGCAGCAAACCCTGAACTCAAGTTTGGACGCTGGAAATTAGAAGAATGTATTGCATTAATTAATGAGATTAAAAGGCATGGGAAACGATGGAATATAATTAGCAAGAATTTAAGACGACCATACCATAATGTAAGGAAAAAATATCGGAATATGGTAAAATATAATGATAGACTCATCAGGGCTTTACGCCATCAAGAACTAACAGATTCTGATGAATCAGATACCAAATAACTCTGTAAATTTAAAGCTTCCAGATAGGAATTGTCAAGAATGAATATGGTTAATCGAGAATATTAAGGGTTTCCTGTTGAATTCCAATTAATTTTTCTATTAGAGATAACAAATGGATTTAATTTTTATATTTAAACCTAATTGTTATCCTGACTTTTTTTTTCGTTCTCTTAATCTTAGATTTTCTACTTCAATAAAAAAAAAACCAACAAGCAATAATAATTTTGGGTTTAGTATTAAGGCAATTAATTTATCTGAACACATTAAAATAAAACAGTAAAATGGTCCTAATACTTACTGTATATTCACTAAATTTATATACACAGTTATAAAAAGAAAAAGTTTAGAAATGTATAAATTACTATTATACTAACACAATTTTAATGCTAAACTACTGTCATATAAAATTTAAAAATCTTATGGTTAATTTCACAGAGAAATTTGTCTGCCAATTGTTATGATCAATCTGTGCTATCAAACTACGTGTATTGGATCGAAGGTTCATAAATTCATTTTAAGCTACGTACACGGTGAGAGTGGGACGTTGACTTTTTATGTAAAATTGAACATATACTTTAATAAATTCAATATGATCATACTGTGCATACAGCAAGTTAGTAAATACAGTAGCATACAGTATAATAGAAATTAATTTATTAACTAAAGTATATACAATATATTAAATTTAAATATAGAAAACT